TTTTACTTTCCTCATCTCAAACCCCTGTCTTTCTGACCACAAAGATACTTTTAGAAAAAAATAAGTTCTTCTGTTGTTTGAAATAACATACTTGCAGTGTTAAACTTTATTTCCTTTTAAACACTATCCATTGGTTTCTAATCAGATTTGTATTGAGCTATTTTACGACATTCTCTCTTTTCTCCTCCCAATATAGATGTAACAAAAATCACTATTAAATCAATATTCAGTGTCTGCTTTATTTTGGTCATGCAAACATTTTTATTGCTGAGTTATGTCTCAATAGAATTGCATTTACTTTTTTATACAAACTTTTGTTTTACTTAGACTTGATAATCATCACATTTTTGTTTGTTGGCTTGCTTAGCTTTCTGTGTATCTATAATTAAATTATTCCCAGACTCTCTAGTGAAACTGGAAAACTTCCCTCAATATGGTTAACTAGAACAGGAAGGAAAGTTTTCTGAAATATCTGAAACATTTGAAAATGTCTCAATTCCACCTTCATCCACAACTAGCAGTTTGGCTAGCTAGACAATTTTAGATAGAAAATTACTTTTCTTCAGAATTTTGAAGAAATTGTTCATTTTCTTCTGTTTTCCAGTCCCACTACTGAGAAGTCCAATACTATTCTCACTATTGATTCTTTTATATATGACATTGTCTTCCTCATCCCTCCCCGGCAGTCCAGAATCTTTTAGGATCTTCTCTTTATCCTCAGAGTTCTGACATTCCATAATAATGTGCAATGGTATGAAGTTTTAACTTATTTTCTTAGCTCTCGTTGGATTTTTTAATATCTGGAAATCCACGTACCTTACTCCTGCTATATTGGCTTGCATTATTTCTTTGCTAATTTCTCCCTAGCCTTTTCCTCTGTTTTCCATTTCTGGAATTGTTGTCAGTTGGATGTTGTACCGCTGAGATTTGTGCTCTAATTTATTACTTTTCCTCCTGTTTCCATCTCTCTTTTGTTATTGTTGTTCTATTTTCTGGGATATTTCCTGTTACATCTTCTAAGCCTCTTAATAAAAATTTATTTAATTTATCATGTCATAACCTTTTAAAAGATGTCTTTCTTGTTGCTTTGAAACACGCAGCATTAGACTCATAGATACTCTTTGTTAAAGTTTTTCAGACAATATTAATTATAATATTTTTATTTTTGTTTGCACTATGTTTTGCCTAATTTTTATTTTGTTTTCCCTTTTACTGTCTGTTGTTTGCTTATTTGTTTGTTTGTATCTATTATACTAGATGCTTTCTGCAAACGTCTATTAAACTTACCTATGCATTTTAGGAATAAGGTATTGAAAAGCTGACTCACAAATCTATGAACATGAGTGGGCATTTCTGCTACTTGTTGAGAGCTGGGCTGCAGAGTCATAAGCAGGAGGGGACAGGGATATTTCATTGTGTTTATTCCACATCAACGGGTCCTTTTTCCTTGGACATAGAATTTCCCTATAGAAGAACTGTCCATTCATCTGCATAAAGAACATAAACTTGGCAACCCACATCGGGAGAATAAACAGTGAGTTCATTATGCTGACTTTAACTTAAGTAAAATGGAAGGATGGTAAGTTTTGCATGAATTTCTGACCAAAAACACAAGAACTTTTGAAAATGAAAATGCGTTAGCAGAGTTTTGTATTTCCTATGAAAAATAAATCTGTCTGACCCTCTTAAAAATTATACATATTTTGCAAATTATATGAGCATGAAGTTATCCTAGCATTTTAAATGGTTTCAGCTCACCCATAATTTCCTCTACCATCGCCATCCTCCTTCTTCCCAAATAAATTGATTATGTGACCTTTTTGTTGGTCCCTGAGTACCTTTATGTATGTTTAGGCCTCCTCTTCTGAACTCATTTCCCACTAACAAAGAAACAAAGCACGGATGCTGACTCTGGCTCCTGGGGAAGTTTAGGTTCAGGCACACTGCACTAGGCAACAGGCTTTCGCGCTGGTCCAAGGGCCTGAGCCCCTATAGGGAGTACCCACGTGGACCTCAGGGCCAGGTCCGCACTCCAGGGCACACAGACAAACTTGATACAGCTGGAGACCACTGAGAGGACTCAGTGGACAGCAAGGGGCTTTTCACCCTAAGCCCCTCCCTGTCTGCCTGCCTCCAGCTTTCCTGCCTGACACTGCCTTACTACTTGAAACTTTATTTATTGCACCATGTTGGTGTGGTGGGCAGGGTAGGGGGTCTGCCCTGGATACAGGAGCACTGCTGAGCAGTGCCTCACCCCAGGTTCCAGACCAGATCCCCTCGGCACTGCTGCTAATGTCACACCACCCAGGTCTCCACCTCCCCAGGGAGGCTCCAAGAGCCTTAACTTTCTCTCTGTCCCCACATCTCCAGAGGAACCATTCTCTAGCTCGACAAATACCACCTGCAAAAGGTCCCAACCTGCTGGTGAGGGACAAGAGGAAGTGAGGAGGCAAGCCCCACCGTGGTCTGTTTACGTGGACTCTTATGTGGAACTGGTGAGCTGCTGAACACCTCACAGACATTTGACGAGACTGAAGGCTCTGGAGGGAGAATGCATTTCATTGCCATCATTTTAATTTGACCATTTGTCTAGATAATTCCTGCTCTTGGGGCAAAATTCAAAAGTAACAGTGGAGAGTGAAAAGCCATTCTCTGACACACTTTTCCTTCAGCCACCCATTTCCCCCTCCCAGAGGCAATCACGGTTATCAGCTTCTCATCTATTTATCAGGGGCAGTTTAGGCATATGTGAACATGTGCCATATAGAAGATAATTCCTCTGAGTAGGGTAAATTCCTGGTTTTTTTTCTGAATTGTAGTCTGCAAGAATCTGAAGTCTCTTGCTAAGAAGAGAGTTGAAAGAGAGAAGCCTGCTTCAGTGTCCTCTTAGCTGTCTCCTTATTCTGTCTTGTCTTTCATCTTTCATCTCATCAATGAAAGTGAGATTTATTGGCTTTGACTGTGTGATCTGCTCATTTGGGGGAAAGGATGGCATGGTTGTGATGTTCTAAGGTACACGGATCTACACATTTATGAACATGTTGAGATCTTGGCTGGGTCTCTCTGTGCTTAGGGCACAGCAGTTGTCCTGCTTTCTGCCTTCCATATCATCCTGGGGATCGCCTACCTCTCTCCTTGATTGAACCGCTTGTTCTCTGCATCTCACATTTTCCTCATTTTTGGTTTCCTCTCTCCTATTTGTGGAGCATATACTACAGTTGCTTTGTGAGAAACATATGGGAAGCATTATTTTTTAAAGATTGGCACCTGAGCTAACATCTGTTGCCAATTTTTTTTCCTTCTTCTTCCCAAAACCCCCCAGTAGGTAGTTGTATTTTCTAGTTGTAGGTCCTTCTGGTTGTGCTGTGTGGGGTGCCACCTCAGCATGGCTTGATGAGCAGCCCAGGATCCAAACCAGCAAATCCCTGTGCTGAGAATCGGAATGCATGAACTTAACCGCTCGGCCACGGGGCTGGCTCCGCATATTTTTTGAGACTGCTCCCATCTCCAAGTCTATTCTATCCACCACTTGATTAACATTTTGCATGAGTATAGAACTCTAGATTAGATCTCATTCTCCTTCAGAATGTTGAATATTAATTCAATTAATTAATTAATCCATCAGTCTACCTTGGAGTATTGCTGTTGAGAACTCGGAAGCAGTTCTGATTCTTGATACTATACATATATATTTCTTTTATAATTTTTTCTCTCTTTTTGTGAACAATTAGAACCATAAATTTGTTTCTGAGCGTTGTTCTCAACTTGACAACAATATGCTTAATTTAGTCCATTATCTTGGTGCTTTGTGGGTCATTTCCACAGAGGTATTTATGTTCTTTGCCTTGGGAAATCCATTTCCATAATTCCTCCTTCTACCTTTTCTCTGCTCTATCCTTCTAGAACTCATATTATTCAGATATCATATGTCTTGAATGGGCTTTCCAATTTTATCTCCTCTTTCATATTTCTCTTTTTGTTCTGTTTCGTATAGATTTTCCAAATTAATCTTCCAGACCTACTATTTCTTCTATTTCTTCTCTAGTGTGTTTATAATGTTTTTCTGAAGAAGCCAAAGGGTTGCAATAGGGATGCCCAGAAACAATAGCATATAAGACAAAGGGCTGGGAACTGTAATACCCATTCATCTTTGTTTCTTTAGCTTCCATGGAAAGTGCTTAGCACATAACAGACTCTCAATAAATAAATGGTTGTGGAATAAAGAAATAGATAAATGAATAACAAAGCCTGGATTCTAGTCCCAACTTATATTTCTTCCCACTTCATCATCAGCACGGTATGCCCTGTCTTGATCTTGGTTTGTAACTAGCAATTTCGGACATTTTCTCTCTGCCACTGACAGCTCTAACAGTATTTGATTCTAGCAATATAATCAATCTGCGCTTTTTGTTAAATGTACACTCTTTAATCCCTGTGATTGTTCCCTAATCACAAATATAATTTTATCTATCTATCTCCACATACACAAACTTTAGTTAACTGAAAATTTTAAATTATCTCATATACAGAACTTACTATACAGGTAGAGAGTGATTTAGGATAGGTAAAAGAATTGAGCTCTCTAGTACTTGAAATGCACTAAAAATCCATCCCAATTTATTATGTTTTTTCTAGATCTTGACTATTTACTTTTAGTAAATAAACCAGAAAACTAAGGAGTCCTGCAATTTGGAAAACTGAGTTCTTTGAATAAATTTCAAGATGATTTCTTATGTCACGTTTTATGCAGAGATCCAGCCACCATATTGGTTCACTGAGATGTGAAACAATTTATACAATTCTACTCGCTAACCAGAGGTCCTATGAAGAATTTTCTTGCAATACGGAACAGTGTAAAAGGCTTACATATCTTGATACTGATTAAAGGGAAGCTATCAAGCTTTGTCATACAGTAATTTCATATTTTAAAAAATAGTTTAAAAGTAAGCCTTCCAAATTCTAGACATCTATACCTTTAAATCAGTCGGACAACAGCCAGATCTTTCAAAACCTTTGACTTTATTTGCCAATCCACTAGTTTAAAAAGCATGCTTTTCATTCCCCTTTTTAAATAAAAGCAGCCTTGTCTGCACTGATTTCATCATCTCCATTGAAAATGTTTATCTGCCAAATGAAAAAGAAGAGTACAAATTAGAAACACTGATACATCTTCTGACATTATTCATTTAGAAGCTAGTTTTCAAGTTGTCATTACATTTACCACATAAAAATTAGAAATGATTTGTTTGGAAACGTACAGCTATTTCTAGATCCAAGATGTTTGGACAACTGTAGATAAAGTTTCATTATCAGACTGAACTAAATAGGCTACAATTATATATAAATCAGGATGATTTTTGCTCCATGAACTTAAGTTATTAATCTACTCAGACCAAGCATCCAGGATACCACCCTTCTCCAAAATTATACATGTGTTTTTCCCAGCCAAGAATGTAAAAAAGGATGTTTAAAAATTAAGGTCAAGGATTGGTTGGACAATGTTCATGTTTCTATCATCTGATTGTTTCCATCTTTCTTCTGGTCTGTGAAACCCTGGCTAGCCTTGCACTTCTACAAAGCCTTGTGTTTTCTCACTTATTAGCACTCATCACACTTGAAATTATTAGTTAAATGTCTGTTTTCTCCCATAAAGAATAGGTTCATGAGGGCAGGGGCCTCTGCTGTCTTACTTTCTTCTGTTTGTCTAATACTACCATATTAGGTATCAATGAATATTTGTTGAATTAATTAATTAATTAACGATAAATGAATGAACGATAAGAAACCTAACTTATCAGGCTGATAATTAAATTAGGGAATGGAAGTTGGAAATTTCAAACTGATCCTGTGTTTTCTAAAATTTTTATACCGTGAGAGTTCGTTTAAAATTTGGAATGTCAAATGTTATGTGCATGGAGTTAACAAATCGTAAAGAAGAATGATGGCGTAGGTAGCTGAAGATGTAGGTTTCAAGTTGCCTGAGTCCTAGGGAAAGTGAGCAAACAAGAAAAAAATTTATATTCTATACTTAAGTACTCAAAAAATAGGATTTAAGAATTCATCAGTATACTGAATTATCATGATTTCTAGACTAATTAGCATCATAATTCATTCAAATGACATATGAGATGCAGACCTCTCAGAATATTTACCATGTTAATCAAATGAAGAATTACAATGAAACTTGAGCTTATTTTCCAGTATATCAAAATTTTGTGCTTAGATAAAAATGAGATTGACATTTTCGAGAACTTTTCCTCAGTATAGAAAATTTTTGCTAATTTTGCATTTTGTGCTCTTCTTAAACCAATTTTCTAATGTTTTCTTTTTATATGCTAAGATATTTTGTATATAAAAAATACTTAATGTTTCCCTGTAGACATACAAACATGACTAGAATGCTACACAGCTGTGCTTTAGACACAATCTAGAAAACATCCTAAGTGCAACAGCAGAGACCAATGATTCATGAAATTGCTCAGTGCTGGGCATATTTCTTCTTAGAGAACTAATAGTTTATACAAGACATTTTTCTTCAAAGTTTGAAATAAAAATATAAACTCTACTCGGTATGTCAGCATTTACATCAAAATGAATTTTTCACTCATGGGAAAAGCTTTAATTAAGTGTATTTGGAAGTTTGGAAATCAGCACATCATGGTGAACAATTTAAATATTTCTCTCCCTACTTTGGTTGGAATAAAACAGGAAACAAAGCAGAAAAACAAAAACAGGAGGGAAGTCCTTGTTTTACCTGTCAACAAAACGGTTAACTTATCTGAGTATATAGCAGTGTACTCAACTTCTCTCCTCTACAATGGAAGCCATGTCCATTTCCTACCAAAGGCTGTTTCTCTCTTTGTGCTCAGGATCCCATCCCAGTTTACCACTCAAGATTCTACTTTTGATACTATCTCCCTTCGTGCTAAGTTCTTTCTAAATTCTAAATTCTAAAGTCAATTTCTTCCTTTATACTTGATTATTCTCAAAAATACATAAGTAGACTCTAATATCTCTCATTTTATCTTTTATTTTTTAAAAGCATATACTAGTAACTCTCATTCTGCCAAAAAAGTTCCCTGAATTTAAAATCTATGTCCCCATACTGTCCATGTCTCTTCTAACAATTACTGTAAGATACTTGAAAATCATTTCATGTCTCCCTGGATGAGGTTTTCCATGAGTATCTAAGGTAGGAACTCTCCATTCATTTCCATCATATCTCATTGTTAATTTCCTTTATTTTACCAATCTCAATCTATACTTCTTGTATTTATTCATTTGTGTTAACTTGTTAATTTAACCTGTCTCCTCCAAGTAGCATGTAGGCTCTTTGAGGCAGATCCCTGAACTCTCTTGTTCATCACTGCATCTTGAGCTCCTAGGAGTGCTCAGAACATAGTAGTTACTTAATATATATTTATTAAATAAATGAAAGACCTGTACTAATTCCTTTGGAAAAATTAATGGTGTCAGCCCCAAGTAATGGTGCAAAGGAGCCAAAATGTCTTGTTAGCACTTGCATTGCTCTATCCTTCCTCCTTTTCTTTTTTCCAGATATCTTCTAGCCTTTTGTTTTTTCACTATAATATTCTACCCAGTAATTCGTCCTTTAGACAAACTCTATTCTCCAAAATAATTCTCATTTCAATAATTACTCATTTCAAGTAGTCCATGTAGACTTAGATGAGTAGTAGGAGAAAACCAGCTGTTTAATTTAATTAATTCATAATAAGGCAAAAGTTAAAATGTGTGTTTTCTTTCCTGCGTGCTTTCCAATTGCATCTCAAATTTTTCAAAGAAGCAGTCATATTGTAGCCCTGTTTGGTAGGAAATCAGACTGTCTGATTCACTAATTCTCAGAGATCTGTGTCACTGTCCCCCACACAACCTTCACCACTTCTCCCATTATCATGTAATATTGGCCCTGAGCATAGATACCTAATTTTCTAAAACTACTTTCATCATCTTTATTCTTCCAAACCTTCTCCTGCTTTTCTCATCTCTGTTAATGGGACCATTATCTACCTTTATCAAATATGATCATTATCATACGACTTTATTGCTCAAGGCACAAAAGGGTTATTAACTTCTTTCACTTCCGACATATTTAGTCACCTAATGTTGTCCATACTGCCTGAAAAGTAACATGAAATCCATGACTTCATCTTCTTATTTACGTGCCCATTTGTCCCTTCTTGGTTGAGGACCTTGAACTGTGCCTCTAGGATAAGCCCTCCTCCATACAAACCTTTTCCACACAGCTAGTAGAATCTTGCTAAAATGCAAGATTTCCATTTCCACTTACAACAGGAAAATAATTCCTTTAGGATATAGTCCTTGCCTTCCTTCTCAAACTTAACTCTCAACTTCTCTATTTACAGCACATGATAATCATAACTAAAACATCAAATTTGTTAAGCACTTACTCCATTCCAGATGGTATTCTAAATATTTCACCTGGATAATCTCATTTATTTCTTATAATAACACACCAAGAGAAAAGTACTACCATTATAGTAAATTGAAAAATGAATAAAGTAAGGCCTAGAGAGGTTAAGTCATTGTTCCATGCCAGTGAAGGGAGCCAGGATTCACACCCAGACAGTCTGCCTCCAGAGCCCACATTCTTAATGGCCACACTATAGCATCTTGCTGTTTCCATGTTAAAAAAAAGACTATACTGCCTCTCATCTCTATCATCATTGCTGTGCAAAGAAACTGAGGCTTAGAGAGGGTAGGTAAATTTCCCAAGATTGGAAATCTAGTAAAATTATGTAGTGGCCCTGCACCCAGCCTATTCTGGACCCACCGTGCTGCCCCTCTTCTGCCTCTGCCCTTGGACTGTCTGGTCCCTGAAAGGGGATGGAGGGCCCCACAAACACTCTGTCTTCCAACATATTCTTGATCACTGATTGTATTGGAAGACTTTGTCAAATGCCTTGAGCTATACATGATAATGTTCAAAAAGGAAAGATGTTATAAAAGGATGCTGGCTACTTCCTTCTCTCCAAATGCCATCGCCCAACAGTTTAAAGTCCATTTGTGAGAACATCAAATCTATGCAATTTTCTTTTGAGCTATGAGGAAACAACATTAATTTGTATGAACTAAAGCATGTGATTAAAGCATCAACTTCATTCCAGTTGTGACTATGAGAAAGATTTGAAATGAACTGAAGTCTCCATACCACAGTGCATTCACGCAGTCATTGCAAGGGCCAATAACCCAGAATGCTAGTGGCTCAGCTACACCCATGAATAGGTAACTAGACTGCATACAGATTCAGAAATGGCTTCGGTTTTGAATGAAGATCAAAAAAGGTGCTGAAATTCCATACAACATTGTCATTATAAGTCAGATTTACCAAATGCTTTAATACCTAACACAAACTGAAACTCTAAAATTCTTTTACGTTTTTTCCCCTAAGGCATAGTGTCAGAAAATATTTTAGACATTCCTTATACCGAAAAAGAAGTAAACACAGCTGAACGTATCTGTAAGCTAGAAAATTAGCATGTAGACTTTTTGCTATTGTTGATCACAGACCATGTAATTCCAAATAAACAATAATGAAACAGTGTGTAATAGTTCTAACACAGGATGTACATTAAAATCAGTTAATCTTGCAAGTACATTTATTCTAAGTATCCGTGAATCATAAAAATACTTTGGCACAATAGATAAATATATACTTTTATATTATCTAAATGTCCTCTATCTTGGTAGAAAGACAAGTTTAGCATTGTAACTGATATGGTGCATGGATAGTCATTCTATAAATATTTAGGCTCTGACAGTCTAAGTGTGTAATTGAGAAGAGCAGAGCCCAGTCCAGATGACGAACACTGGCCCTAAATAAACTGGAGAAGACATAAACGTAAGCACGGCAATTCTTTTATTGCATTATGCTTTATTTACTTTTAGACACTATGCATCAATAAAACCACAGGTGTCCAGTCTCCCTGGACTGTCACCAGAAAGTTTATCTTTTTGGCTTTTCAGTTTCTACAATAACATTATTCAAAAGATGAACCAATTCACTTTTACTAACTATGATGTAATTCAATCTCGATGATTTTGAATAATTCTTTCTGAAACTATGTCTTTTATAATAAATCTTTTGCTTGGAGTTTTAAGGTCTGATAAATGACCATCAAAATGGTTGTTACTGATTGAAAAATGGTCAAAACCCAGGTATAGCTGTATCAAGCTGAAGCCTTCCTTACTTCCAAGAATTCACCCATTAAAGGCTCAACATAATCATGCCAATTCTAGAGGCAGAACATATGAACAGAGCAATCTGTTTAAAATAGTCTTCCTGCTGGGAAAACATAAGAAGACAAGGAAAAAATCTCTATTGGAAGGAAAAGGCAAATAGCAATAATAATGAACCTCAAAGTTAGAGACAGAGAGCATCTCTTCAAAGATGATATAGACAACTACTTATATACACCATTGATGGAATATACTTCAGAATAAAACTCTCAAGGAAAGTCATCATTACTGTAATTGTTGTTGTCAGTTATAATAAAAAAGCCTTTTTCAAACTAAAATCTTGGGACATCTATTTACTGATATGGATGGCATGCTGTGTTTCACTAGCTTTTTCATTGTTATAAGTGTTATTAAATTAACACACTCAAAAGAAAATGAGAGCAAATGCAAACTGAAATGAACTAGGTTCAGTGTAAGGTGTCTTGGCAAGCCACTTTCAGTTTGAATGACAGCAGATCTGATGTTTTCTCATGTCACTGCACTCATGGCCCACGTTGATTCTGTCAAGTTGGCAGCTTTTTCTCTCCCAGCTCCACGTTTCCACAACACATTTAACACATTCCAAGATAGATGAGGTCATAGGTCATGTGTATGACATCACCACCATCAGTAACATTGCTTCTCTTCCTCCTGATTTATACCTAACTGGAGTGTAAGCCTCCTGAGGGTGGGAACAGGGACCATTCTGTTTATGCTCACTGTTCCATCTTTATTGCCTAATACAGTGCTGGTACAGAGAACGTGTTGAATAAAGGTTTGTTGAGTGAACAAATGAATACCTAAATACTATTGGATGTTGGTAACATCTATTTCTTTCAAGTGCTTATAATATTGTTTCAATAAAATAATAAAAACAGAATTGAAAGGTCCTTAATAAACATATATCCCAATTTCCCACTCAAATGAAAATTTCCATCACAAGAGCAACAGCAACCTCTTATATGTTAGGACTATGCCAAGTATTAAGTACTATTTTAATACCAACATTAAGGTAGATACGATTATTTTTCCTTTATAGGTGAGAAAATAAGGTTTATAAAGTTCAAGACACATGTGAATGGCCCACAGCTAGCAAGTGTTAAAGCCAAGATTCTAACTGATGTTGCAAAAGCTCATATATAAAGTCAAATTGTATTTGGCTGAGAAAACAGAAAACTTCATAACAATAGCAGCTTGACCCAAGGCTGGTATAGCAGCTGTGCTCTACAAAGTTTTTAGGAACCAAGACTCCATTCAGACCACTGCTCTAACATACTTGGGCTGTAGACTTTATCCTCAGCTTCTAAGGCAATATCTCTCTTCCAGGGAGCAAGATGGAGGAAGAATCAAAGAAAAGTAGTAAGGAATACATGACAATTGTGTCTTCAGGAGGGCTTCTGGAAGCTGACACATTTGCTTACATCTCATTGACCAGAATGTAGTCACTATTGGGGGTTAAATTGCATCCTTCAAAATCCATATGTTGAAGTCTTGATCCTCAGTACCTCAGAATATGACCTTATTTAGAAATAAGGCCATTGAGGATGTACTTAGTTACAATGAGGTCATACTAGAGTAGGGTGGGCCCTGATCCAATGTGATTGATGTCCTTATAAAAAGAACTCACCATGCAAAGAGGCAAACATGAACGCCAGATGAGGATTGGAATTAAGCTGCCATAAGCCAAGGAACTACCAGACACTGGGAGAGAGGCTGGAACAGAGTTTTTCCTGGCATCTTCAGTGGGAGTGTGGCCCTCCTGGCACTTTAATCCTAGACCTCAAGCTTCTAGAACTGTGAGACAATAAGTTTGTTTAAGCCACTCCGTTTGTAGTTCTTTGTTAAGACAGCCTTAGCAAACCAAGACCGTAACCTTTAAGGTGGTCTGGTAAAACTTAGATTTTTTTGGCTCTATGTCAGCTAAAATTTTGAAAATGTGGCAAAATGATTATTGCAGGACAATAGGCAGTCTTTGCCAAACTGTGCTACACTCTGAGAGGTGGCCCCAATACTGAGTATTTTATTGAATCTGCAACTGTTAACTGTGAAAGGTATATTTGTACATTATGCTTTGAACCCCCTAGAAAGAAAAAGTACTAAGGATTTAATTACGATAGATCACTTACTCTCCTTATTTCAGAGATGTTAAATGTAAAAGAAGAATTGGGCATCTTAGAATCAATGAAATAGCGCAAATGATCTATAGACAATTTAGTCATAACAGTAAGCACAGAAAAAAAAATCATTTACATGGCTATCATCCAATGTTTTACACTCCAGCTGATATAAAACAAAATGACTTGTCTTACTACAGGATTAGAGAAAGCATACATAAGATAATCAGATACAAAGGATAGGAAAATGTCAATATGGATATTGATATAGCTATAAATATATAAAAATAAACTTCTTTGATTAAGCTCACTCAAAATTCTTCCACTATGTTAGCGAAATATAATGTCAGTGGTAGCATATATTCCTTTTAAATCAAAGTAATACGTAGTATCAGTTATGCTTATTCTAGAAAAGAAGGATAATTTTGGCTGATGGTTTCATGAAAGAAATTTAATGCCCCTTTCTCTACCAAATGAAAAATAATAATACTGCTTTAATTGGGAATAATAAAAAGATCTAATAAGTGAGATTATAAAACCTATAAAATCATCAAGTGCAGTGATAATTAATTTCCTTGTTAAAAAGATTTTTGTTTTTATTTTCCTTTTCTCTATGAAATTCAGTCCCATTTACTTGAATTATTCTTCTCGTTATGTATTGGCTAAACTTCTTTAGAAGAAACTGGGATTTCTCTCTTGAGTCCCAAAGGAAAGTTTTAATTGCATGCTGCATGACAAGTTGAATTATTAAGACATCTATTACGGCATAATGCTACAACTTTCTAATTTTAGAGGGTCTTATCAATTCACTTTCTTTAGATGTAGCTGAGATCTAAAAAAATGCAAAACATCCCTTTGACAATTACCAAGAAATAATGTGAAGATCAGTTAACTTACTCACCCAGGGCCATAGAAAGGAAGCCAGGGTCTCCCACTGTGAAGCTTTGATGTTCTGACATTTATGAGCCCATAACTTAGCTTAATTTAGCAACTGACCTGTGAAACAGCACCCGTTATTAATATTAATATTAATAACTATTATAGAATTTAGAGTATTTCCCCGCAGTATTACAGAACTTAATAAAAACAATTCGAGAGTCAGTTACGTCAATAAACAGCTAAAACATTAGCAAAGATATTAGCTAACATAAAGAAGAAAATGCTTAGAGTCTAAAGAGGGCATTTGTGAGGCAAAGAGCTGGGCTTCTCACAAAGATTGCTGGACATTGTGGCTTTAAGCAAAGCAACGTCTGTAGACATTTTTGGCGGTAGGTGGAGTTAAGTGGCGAATGTAATTTCAGTAAGAGGGAGGGGAGAGGGGAACAGTCAAAACGTACTTAGCAAAATGGAGGTGACAAGTAATTCATTCTAATAATTTAAATTAAATCTCTGTAAAACAAGGAAGAGAGTACAAAAACAAAGCTGCTGAAAGCATAGAACAATTTAAGAACTCTAGACAGCAAGAGATTCATCTTCAGCAGAAATCCACTTTATGAGAAAAAATTTAAATCATAAAATTAAGTTTTTATCATTAAGACTTTAGGGAATCAAGAAAAGTAAAAAATGGGATTCTCTTCTCCAAAATTTAGTTACTGAATTCAGCTTAAAAGTACCTAAGAAGGAGAGAGGAGGGGAGATGAAGGGAGGAGCGGTAAGGGTAGGGGAGAGGAAGATCTCAGAGCAGAACACTGCCACTCATCAATTTTTAAAAAGCAAGTAATTGAAGAAAAGTAAGAATCAGTGGCTAAAGAAACAAGAAAAATGGAGAAGAGCACAGTCTTGGAAGCAAAAGTGGAGAAGGAGTTTGAAGGAGAGTGAACAAGTCTCAAGTACAGTGACAATGACATGTAAAGTGAAAACTGAAGGAGTCCATTACTTTATTGAACAAAGAGGTCAGTGGTGATTCAATAAGAAAGTTTCGGTGAAATGGAAGAGGAAGGAATGAGAAGGGAGAGGGTGGAATGAGGAAGTAGGGTCTACTCTTTCCAGAAGCTTGATTTTGAAGGAAAGAAGAGAGATGGGCAGTACCCTGGGGAAAGGGTTTTGGTCAGAAGGGTTTACGCCAAGGGGAATTTTGGCCATGCATGTGTTTATTTTAATGTCCTGCATTCATTCCTTACCACAGCTTTTTCAATCCCTTACCTTCTTCTCACACCCCTGTCTCTCCCACCTTCCCCCCTCATGCTCAGCAAAGGAGCTCACCCACTTCCTGCAGCATGTAGGAACCATCAGGTAGGAACTTTCTCAACTTCTCAATGTAACCTCCCTCCCATATCTCGACCCTCCCCCACCCCCCGACCCAACCCCAGTGTCTTACCTTCTGCCTTGCTGTGACAGTGGGAGTGGAAAACCTTCGCATACAAGAAGAATCCTTCTGCTTGTGCTTAGAATCTCTGCCCTACTTCCTTCTTACCGTGATCTTGAAAAATTATTAACTCCTCTGTACTTCAGTTCCTTCCATAGCAAAGTGGAAGCAAAAACTCACTATGTCATTGCAGATTAAATAAGATAAGTATCTCTAAAATGCTTAATATAAAGCTTGGCCTTTAGTAAGCACTCATTAATATCTTTTCTCCCTTGCTTCTAATACCAAATCTCTCTCACCTTGTTTATTCGTCTTCTGTTATGCTTTTTCCCCTAAGATCTTGTCTTCCTCCAGCATATTCAATTCTTCTTTTTTTTTACACTAGTCATTTTCTGTTCTCCCCATATCTGAGGTTTACCAATTCTTTTTCATTTCTTGTCCAGTACATGCCCATCATTCTTTTATCTCTGATAAGCTACCTCTGTAGTTCTAGTCTTCTAGTCTTCTCCCCGCATCTTTTCTGCCTCCACCTTTATTCATATCTTGTTATAACAGCAGGCTTGTAGCATTTCACCTGTGAACCCTTCTCTTCTTGCCTTTCTGCTTCACATAGTCCCCTTCTCTTCTCAGCTCCTGACTCGTTGACAAGCAACAAAAGTCCATGGGGAAAAGGTCATTACCTGTCTTGTCTACTGCTCTATCCCTAGGACATTGAACATTGCTTGTTGCTTGAATATTGAGTGAATGAATTAATGAATATGTTGCTGCCTCCAGTGTCCTCTACCTGAAGTCACTGAACTGCTTCACCTGACTGCCTACCAAATTTGTATCTTTAACTAAATCCTTTCTTTGGTGTTTCTAGTCCAATTATCTAACCATCTACTTGATAGTTCCCCTTGAATGTCTTATATATCTCTCAAATTAGACATGCTCAAAACTAAATCCAAAAACTTTACTTCTACCTCCCAACTGGTTTTCCTCCAGGGCCCTCTAGCTCAACGAATGTCATCATCCATCCAGTTGTTCTAATTAGAGACTTTGGAGTCATCATTTACAAGCTCATCTTATTCCCCAACCAATACTTTACCAAATCTACAGACTTAACTATTGCATATCTGTTAGCTCTCCTCACTTCTTTTCACGTCCATTGCTAACATCTACTCAATCACTCAATCTAGCCTGGACCACTGCAGTGGTCTCTTTGCTGGTCTCCTCATACCCACACCTAAGACCTGTACAATCCATTCTCCAGACAGCAGTAAGAATAATATTTTTAAAATGCAGATTTAATCATATCTCTCCCTTGTTCAAAACCTTGGAATGAAATACTAAACATGGTCTATGAAGCTCTGCATAGTTTAGCTCCTGCCTACATTCCTAGCTTAATTTTTTCCACTCTCCTTAGCATCTGCATTTTCATCACTTTCCCTAGAGCTCATGCTTTTTCCTACCTTGGAATCTTCAAAGAGGCAGCTCTTTCACTCACGCTTCCGCAGCCAGCTGCACATCAGCTCGTTGGCTTTGCTTCAGCAGGCTGTGTGGCCATCAGCTGGGTATCTCGCTCTCCTCTACATGGCTTCTCAATGTCTTGCAGGCTATCCTGGGCTTGTTCTATGGCAGAAACAGGACCCAAAAGAAGACAACCGGTCACAAGCTGAGCCCAAATGCAAGGAGTAGACAAATAGACCGCTAGATGGGAGAAGCTGCTAAATCACATTGCAAAGGGCATGGATATAGGCAGACTACTATTGAAGCCATCAATATGATCAATCTACCAAAACAGCCATATCTCAGGAAAGACAGATTAATTTTTTTCACCTTTAGACTAAAGTATAGGATATTGGTGGATGCAAATATAAATACATTAAAATATGCTCAATTGAGTATTGGAAGATATTTGTATCTCAAAATGTCTCCAAAAGTAGTAGAAAATTTCCCTACTTAGAAGGATAGAGACTGTAGGAAAATTTGGAATGGATATTTGGTAAGTGCAAAATGGCATTTTTTTTTTTTTACCTTAAGATAAAGATAATAGAGATGGAATTTACCTGGGCCCTGACAAAAGTACTTTTAAAAATCAAGGGAGTTTCAGGAGCAGTACTGGAAGGATAAAGCCACAAATAAAAAGGGGAAATTTTTGGAGTAAGAGAAAGTCCCCAGTCTTCCCTATGTAGGTGATTTCCTCTCTGTCACTTTATGCTCCTAAAGTCGCATATCCCTACTTTAAATAGCAGCACATGTACCTCCCTTAGGAGTATTTATCAGTGTTGAAACTTTACATTACCTTGTGTGAGCTTCTACACACGACGGCAGACTCTGCCTGAAAATTTACACTTCTTTGAATACAAACATTTTATATATGAAAGGGATACATGTTGGAATATATTATATGAAAAATAAACAATCTAATTTCGCTGCTTAAGAAATACATTACTAGTATTGTTGAAGCCCCTCCCACCCGTCACTCAGTGCATCCTCCTTCTCCCACCACTTATTGCTCACAGGTATTGTTTCCTACCCTTGTGATTTCAGTACATGTGCCTGTATCTGTAAACAAATAGTATTTAGTTTTATGTTATTGTGCTTTATACAAATCTTTCATTGTCAATGCTGCATAGCATACCTTTACGTGTATATATATACATATATATATATATATACGAATTCTCATATATATGTAATTTTATGCATACCTTCATCAATGGATATTTAGGTATTTAGATTGATTCCTGGCATTTGCTATTATAAACAGTACGGAGGTATTCATTCATTTCTTCTGGCATATATGCGCAAGAATTTCTCTCAGGATTATATCTAACAAATGAATTTCACATTTTCAATATTACTAAACAACGTCAAACTGTTTCCCAGAAGTAGTTTTACAGAAGCAAACTCTCATCAGAAGTGTATAAAACTTGATGTTGTTCCGCTGATACTTGGTTTTATCAGACTTCTTGAATTCGCCAAATGGTTAGGGATAAAATAGTATCTCATTGTAGTTTTAATGTGTTTCCTTGGTTATTAATGATGTCGAGAATCTTTTCTTATGTTTACCAGTTCACATATGTTTACTATTTCATATGTTTGTTGGTATATGTGTGATTTTTTCCCAGTGTTTTATTTCCATGCTGTTTTGCTTCCTATTCATAAATTAAACCTTTTTTTTTTTTTTTTTTTTGGTAAGATAAACTCTCCTAACAGTTTGTTTGAAAATATCTTTGAACTTCTTCTGGAAAGGTTACTGCATGAGGTGCACAATTCTTTGTCGACAATTATTACCTCTTGTGATGGTTAATTTTATATGTCAGCTTGACTGGAGTAAGAAATACCTAGATAAGTGGTAAAACATTATTTCTGAGTGTGTCTGTGGAGGGTGTTTCCAGAATCTTGAGCTGGGACATCCATCTTCTCCACCTTCGACATAGGCAATCCTGGTTCTCAAACTTCCAGACCCAGATGGGGAACTTTTAGATTCAGATGGGAACTTACACCATAGGGCCCCTGATTCTCGGGCCTTCTGAATTGGACTGAATTACACTACAGACTTTTCTGGGTCTCCACCTTGCAGATAGCA